ATTTCTAAATATTATTATTGTGCTTTTTGTACAGTTATGATATGATAGAAATATAGAAAATATAGACCTAAATGATTTATAATTACAGTAGCAGTATTAAAATACTGCTTTAGTATTTATACCCTAATGATACTAAATTCTACTAAGCAACATACAGTATAGTAATAAAAAGTAATTCCAAAGAGTTTCAGCCTAAACAAGAGGAATTGGCTGACAATCAGCATTCTTTAAATTCCCATTTTTGCAGCTTATTTTTCTGAGTATAAGTTGGTCTCAMTTTAATCCATTCCAGACAAAGAATTACAGGGATGACCTACCCTCCATGTGATGTGTTGTCAGCTCTCTCTTAATGGTTGTTCCTGAAAGAGAAAAGTCTCTCATAAAGACAGTAAGAAGGGGATTTTTTCACTGTTTGATCTGAATAGTGCAAATCAGGAGTTCATTGAATGTRTTCCTTTTAAATCAAAGATTTAGTCAAATACATTCCCATTTCACTTAATTTTTTTTTCTCTGTAGTAAAGAACCTACCAAAATCCTTTTCCTATGGACTCATCAGATGGGGCTATTTGATGTTTTTTCAAAAGTCAGAACTGGACAGAACAGCTACACAGAAAGATTATGACTAAATGAAAATGAAAATCTTTCATTCAAAGGTGGGTTTTTTTCCCATTAAGAAATATAATCAGTGGTCTAAAATTAGCAGAGACATCCAGGGAAGTAAATTGAATCTATCTTTATCAGCATGATTTTCCTGTTAGCACCAAATATTTTCTCCTTTATTTTTAGTGTGTCGGAACTACCATACTGTATATTAGGGCCATCTGATCCCAGTGAAAGATTGCTGTCTTAAAAAAAAAGCAACAACCTGGCTTTGATGCAAACTTTTCCTGGGGCATTTTCTTCTTCCTTGACCCACTGAGGAGGGTGTGCACACACCCAGGATGTGATGTAGGGGTGTGTGTGTCCTCAGCACTGGGGGCTGTGGCTGGGAGCCAAAGGATTTGAAAAGCTAATGCTGCTTTTTCGTATCTCCCTCATCTTGGGAGAAGTTCTTTCCCTGCCATGCTCCAATGGTAACCCATATGAATGTTGTTTTTAATCCAGGCCTGTTCCTACAGAACAGGCATTTGGTCTGCAAGGCTCTAATTTCAGCTACAGAGCACAAATCAGTGAAACAATGGAGAGAAACATTCCCTTCAGCCTTAGCAGGGATTTTTCCTTTCAAAATGGGAACCAAGTGACTGRACAGAGCAAGGCTCTTTTTGCTTTTCCAGTCAGGTTCTGATTGGTATAAGGGAAGGTTTGGGTTAGCAATGTTTTATCATTCCAGCTAGTGACCTCATCACAAGTATCACCCATTCCAGTTAGGAGGCACTTCCCAAAGACAAAATTTCTTCATATTTAACTGGAATTTCCCTGTTGCAATTGTGTCCTCTTGTCCCATCCCTGTGCATCTCCTGGAAGAGTCTGGCTYCATCTTCTCTCCACAYCCTGCTCAGTACTGAGGASAGCAAAAAGATCTCCCCWGAGCYTCCTCCTCYTTCCTCACAGGCTCCAGCCCCCTCCCCATCACAGAAACCTCTCYTGGCCCTGCTCCAGGGCAGCAATTATTCTGCCACCACCTCCTCTCYTGGTATTCACCCAAGTAGCAGTAAATGGACAGGACATGTGAAACAGAATCCAGATTTACGGCAGGAAAGCACCCGACTACTCCTTCATTCTCACTGGGTCACATTTGATGCCAGCAGAAAATCTGGCAGGGGGAGGCAGTGGAGCAGATCCCTATTGTTACCTGTAACTGGAGATGGACAGGAGGACACATCCAGCCCGCTCAGGGAAGAGTTAATCTCTGCAGTCACAAAGCATTCAATGGCACCTTTGTCACAGGTGCAGAGGAACTGCTCACAGGGATCCCCAGACTCTGGAAATAAAACAAAAATTCAAGCAAGAGTCTAGTGAAAAATCTTTTCCATCTCCTGCTTTTTCCTCCCTATAAGGTTTGTGTCTGTATTTCATCAGTAAAAATCTATTCATACAGTGCTTCTCTATGCTAAACAGTCAAGTTTCAAGGTCCAGTCCTGGTTTTGAACATCAGCTGATGCAGCCTGGCACAATGAGCAACAAATTATTGCCTATCTGGTTGGGTCTGCAGAGAATTGAGGATTACTGAGCAACGCTCTCGTTTTCCATGGAAAACTTAATCCAGCTGATACTGAATTTGATATTTTACAGATTTCATTAAAATATTCTTCCAAACTCCAAGAATTCCCAGTCCACAAGCCAAGCCTTTGTGATTTGCTCCTTACAGAGAATCAGAGAAGCACAGAACAGCTTGGATTGGAATGGACCTTAAACCTCATCTKAATCCACCCCCTGCCATGGGCAGGGACACCTTCCACTAGAAAAGGTTGGTCCAAGCCCCATCCACCCTGTCCTTGGACATTTCCAGGGATGAGGCATCTACAACTTCTCTGGGCAACCTGTACCAGTGTCTCACCACCCTCAAAGTAAAGAATTTCTTCCTAACATAAAGGATTTGAAACAGTTTCCCAGGAAATACTATTTTCCCTCTTCAAAATCTTCTCCTTTCAGAGTTCAAAAACACATTGGCTTTTCACAGCTGTCACACATCTCATAGTGAGAGGCACTATATAGAAAGAGCTTAAAAAGCATTATTCATGTTTAAATGCACTTGGACCTTTAGAGATTGATCTCAATAGCAAAAATGTTCTTTAATTTGAAATAAGAAAGGGAAATTGGATCAGATTGTTGCTTAAATAAGATATAAAGGTATTAGGTTGGAGGTTCTGCTCYTCTTCTCTGGTATCCTCAAACCATATGTTTTAGCATATAGTCTTTTCTGAGAGCCAATACTTGATGAAAAATTATTTTAAAAGTTATTAGGCATTAAAGAACCCCACTGCATCCTTGTCAGGCTGTACCAGAATGTCAAGGAATAGCTCCTATTATAACACAAGTCTCTGCCCYCACTGRTGAYAYTGCTGTAGCTGAGGAGTGTGCATGRCCCTCTGAATAAAGAACTTGATCCCTCAAAGTGCAAAAAAATCAGGCCTTGATGCCTCTGAAGGAGATGATTTTTCAGGTCTCTCCTCAGCATCTGCTGCATTTCTGRTGAGTGGGAACATCTCAAGCAATATTTAATGGTCCTGCAAAGTCAGGGAAACCCCAGGAAGAGGCTGCCTGTTGGATGACCCTTGGGAAGTGGAGGTGTTTTCTGATTAATTTGTCTTTGACTTTTGTCAGGCAGACCAGAATGAGCTTCTGGTCCCTATGAGCCTCCAGTGTTAAGCTCTTGAGAATGTTAATCTCACCACAGGTCAGGTTTTTAGTGGAGCAGCTGACATCTGCAGCAATCTTTGATGGGTCCCACGTGCACTCCATCTCCAGYGCTTCCTCGTAGCATTTGCGGTGCTGGAAACAGCATCTTAAAAATGAAATTACAGAGAGTTCACACAATTTCAGTTCAAGGTCAGACTGCAGKGATGTCATGTTGCTCTTACACAAAA